TCCTCTTTTCAGCATCTTTCTCTCCTTCCTTTTGCTTGCACAAAGTTTATACAGACATTAGACAAGGGGTGTTCCAAACCTAATGCCACTCAAAAATAATGACAGTCGTGTAAAGAAATATTCAGGTTGCATGATTATAGTTGTCTTGGAGGCAACACACTTTCCATAGACTTAAACCAGCTCCCTACAACTCGCCCAACAACTCAGAGAAGCGTAACCTTTCCTAAACACAACCCCAGACTCCTCAGTTGGACATGGCAGCAAATAAAAGTCCTCAAAATCCTATGGGCTGCTTCAGCCACAATCAGTCTTGCATCACAAACTTGCACCCCCTCAACTACTGGATTTTTTGCAATAAGGAAAGTGAAGGGGAAATGTACTGGAAAGTGTGGGCTAGCTCTGGCTTTGATGCAATGTCATCTAACCTCCCCACAATAAGTCAGGATGAATGCTCACTAAATCTATGTTTGCTAAGCTCGCCGCAAAACTAATCAGGATGAATGGTCAATATATGAACAGGTCATCTGGAAGCACCCACATTACGGTCTTCACAGAACATTTGTTCTGATTTGTTTGCAGGGAGGTTATACAACAATGGCATCCATCCTGTTTCGTTTGCATGGTGGTGATACATTTCCCCGCTGATCATTCATTCACCCCAAACTTTGCAGTGTATATCCCCATCACTTTCCAAACTGCAAAAAGCACTTCAATCTATTTTAACTGCTGTCAGGGACTGGGCAGAGGAGGAATGGTGGACAAACATCTGGAAATGGGAAGTAGCTGCTCTGGCAGTTGGGTTGAATCTGGTTTACAAGCCAAGTGGTAGAGAGCTGCCTAAGGTCCAAATTTGGGAATGGGAAACCTGTGCCCCTCCAAGATGTTGTCAAATTCCAACTTCTATCAGCCCCAGCCAATGTAGCCAACCATCAGGGATAATGGGAGTTGTAGTTCAACAACATCTGGAGGGCCACAGATGTTGAAATTAATTATGCAAATGCAATTAATATGCACATTTTTAAAAAATGTAAAGAGCAGGTGCTGAGGGTGCTGGAACCACAGGGAGTGGAAAGGGAGAGATTAGCTCTTCACCATGGTCTGAATCCCAAGGAATATTGTCTCTGCAAAGCTATTTGCATCAGAAAGACATTTTTCTTGCAATGGAGGGGGGAAGAAGGAGTCCTGCTTAGGGTATCTCACAGCTGTTATTGATATTTTTATATTTTTAAAAGCATACATGCTGATTGCCTTCCCGAAATTAGCGTGGCACCTAGTTTAGCCCTAGGATCCACCTCTCAGAATGAAGCCAAAGGGTGTCTCCTCCCAAAGTGTGAGGCCCCCTTTCCCATCCCTTACCTTGCAGTTCTGCTCCCAAAAGGACCGAGGGAGCAACTGCACGGGGAGATGGGTTTTCAGAGTCCGTGGAGAAGGCATCGCGTTTGCTTGATCAACCCCTGCTCAAAGAAGAGTGAAGCATTAGTCGCAGAACAGGGATGGGAGATCATCCTGTCCCAATTCGGAGGGCAAAACACAGCGAAAAAGGAATCCATTTCAAAATCCAAATCAAGTTACATGATTGGCCTTTCCGGGAGACCTGGGGAAGGTAGTTATGCTGAGAAACCCATTTTATAATGTTATAGGATTGAAGGGTTGGTTTGGAGGAAACCTATGGGTTCCAACCAAGCCTGTGGTTTTGTATCTACAACATGGCAGCCTTTTACAAGAGGGAACCTGCTGAACTGGTCAGAATGGTCTCTTTTTCAAAATAAGGGCCCTGGCCAAGTCTGTTAAGCATTCTATCTGCAGATGCCTAGAAGTTGGCGAAGACCAGGTGTGTTGCCATGGAAACAACTGGAGATGCTTCTGGAGGAGAAGAGTGGTCCTTTCCCCATCTCACCTGGTTGGATACCATTTCATTCTAGAAAGCGGGGGGGGGGGGAGGCCGGGGGGGCTAATCTGGGGTGAGTTTTGTTTGGGCTGGAAGCTAGAGAAAGACAGGGACAGAGGCTCCCTGGAAACCTAAAGGGGAGGCCAAGATCTGCTGGAATGTTCCTTCTGTGAGCCTATGCTCAGGTTGCACATCTGTGCAAGTAAAGTCATATTTCCTAAAGATGCCACAGTCTCCAGGGACCTTCATTCCAAGGAAAGTGAGTAAAAGCACTCTCTCCCCGCCCAGAGATTGGGTTGGGCACCACAGGAATATGGATGGTGCTGTATTTGTCACCTGAGGGCTGGGGTGGCCGTGCCCACTCAATGAATGGGTGGCGATGATGCACAGGGGCCCGCTGGCATTTCTCCAGGTCGCCTTCTTGTTGGATCATATCCACTATCTCTTGTATCCAGGTGGTACCTGGCATAATGCGCAAAGAGAGAGAGAGAGAGAGAGAGAGAGAGAAGGAAAATCAGCAGTCATATATTCAGGCCCAGTCATTTGCCCAGGACCTCAGCTCTCTTGCCCTGTCTGCTATTTAAAACTTAAATCCCCTTTCCCCTTTTGCTTACAGGGCTCTTGTGCATGCTGTATACAGCTCAGCACCCGTGTGACTCCAGCCACTAATGCATATTACTTTCCATCTATCACTATGAACTAGCAGGTGCAAAGTTGTGTTGTGGATCTGTGCCCAGAAAGTTTACAGTAATCAGTAGCACAGCAAGCTAATTATTCTGCATCCTGAATAGATTTTGCATATTTACCACTATGTGCCAACTTTGCACACTTTATATTGCTTCTGCTAGCTGTAAGAAAGGGAGATACAGAGACCTTTAAAGCCCTCTCTGCACACATGGTTTTAAGCACAGCATTCAAACTCACTAGGACTAGGAACTTGGGTTTTTTAAATAATAATAATAATAATAAATCACACAAAATATGAACCTAGAGATTCTGAGACCTGTATGTGCTCTGAAAATAAAAAGAACAAACATTAATGCATGGAATGATCACCACCCACAGAGCCGAATGTAATAATCGTCTACCTGGCACAGGCATAGGCAAATTCGGCTCGCCAGATGTTTTGGAACTACAACTCCCATCATCCCTAGCTAACAGGACCAGTGGTCAGGAATGATGGGAATTGTAGTCCCAAAACATCTGGGGGGCTGAGTTTGCCTATGCCTGACCTAGCAGAACCGTCTTTCTAAAGGCAATATAGGACTCTCGCTGGACTAATTTTGAGTTTTGTGCTTCTGCAACTCTCAAACTGGATGCAGCTTTGTCCCTGGATAATTACCGGCTTTGGGATATGTACAAATGAGCAGGTCGTCTGGCTTTGCCTGGAAGTTCTGGATCCGGCTCCATTCCTGACAAGTAGCCTTTGCCAGGGGAATCCCGTCCACTTCGCCCAGCTCGGGGCGCCCCTCTGGTTGGGCATCTTTCCCTTGTCCTGTAGGCATTGCTCTCTGCTGGGGAAACAAGACACAAGGAAAATACAGCGCCTTGCATTATTATGCGTCTCTGCCATTCTGAAGGAAATCAGCCCTGAGTGCTCACTGGAAGGACAGATCCTGAAGCTGAGGCTCCAATACTTTGGCCACCTCATGAAAAGAGAAGACTCCCTGGAAAAGACCCTGATGTTGGGAAAGATGGAGGGCACAAGGAGAAGGGGACGACAGAGGACGAGATGGTTGGACAGTGTTCTCGAAGCTACAAACATGAGTTTGACCAAACTGTGGGAGGCAGTGGAAGACAGGAGTGCCTGGCGTGCTCTGGTCCATGGGGTCACGAAGAGTCGGACACGACTAAACGACTAAACAACAACAAAGTCTTTGAGGTTTGGGTTACGGTTGCCATCTCTCTCTTTGTTATATATATCAGGACTCTTGAGCCTTTAACAACAACGGGCATGCACAACACAGCTGGAGGTGGGTTTCCTCAGAAGGGCTTCTTCACCTTTTTAATTTCTGCCTGCCAAAAGGCGCAAGAGCCCTGCCAGAGAAAAAGGAAGGCAGGAAAAGAGGAGGATACAGTCACAGTCCCTGTGCATCCCCATTGGACCCACAGCCTCTCCCAGATAGCTCTGCCCCCTCCACAACCTCTTCCCCATCTTGGCCTTTCCATTCACCAGGGTGCTGGGTATTATAGCTCTTTGAGGGGTAAACTACAGTTCCCAGTTTTCTTTTTTGGGTGGGTAAGTGCTTTAAATGTGTGACGTGTGTGGGAATGTCATGGATAGTAGGAGAGGATATATTGCTTAAATATTATCCTTCCTCACTCACACTTGTGAGTCAGTAGATTCGTTTGAATCTCTTTACTTAAGCAATCCAATCTGGATTGTCCAGATTGGGTTTGATCCCAGTAAATTCCCCCTTTATCCCTCCTAAAAAGAATAAAGTATAACAAGAAGTTTACTTACATTCAGTTCACAGTAGGTTCCCTGAAGGCAGGCTTTAGCTTGAAGTTATGGAAACCAGAGTAGGTTCGTCCCATGTAGGGATATAAGCCTATGCCCTGCTGGCTGAGAGCCAGCAGACAGCTAAACACATCAGTATCGGAAGAAAGCAGCAAAAGAACGAAAGGGAAGATGGCTGTGTGAGCAGCCCTTTTACAGGGTCTCACAAGGTCACGCCCATCTACCTGGTCACACGCAGGGGGAGGATGCTCCAGACCAGGTGTGACAGGAAGTCCTCCTGGCTGCAGTAACATCCCCCTCTGTGTCTGCTCGGGGCAAACAGGAAGTGTTGTACTTGCCTGCTTATGTTACATCCCACAGCGTGTCTGCAGCCTGTGTCTTGGGGCACTTTAAAATTTAACGTGTCACAGAAGAATCACTCTCTGTTGCATCTAGGTAGGCAGAGGCTCTGCAGTGGACAAATGGCCAGATCACATATTGTGCGTCCCCCCCTCCCCCATAAACTTAAAATGTTATAGGTTCAGAAAAATGTAAATTGAATGGGGCAGGGAAGAAGGCTCAGGTGTGAGTTTGAAACACCCTAAAATTCCTTGTCCAAGCAGAGAGTGGACACTCATTTGGGGTTTAGCAGGAACCTCTTGAGACAGACCGCTTAGATTTAGATGGTAGTACATGAGGTTTATATACTGGTTGATTGTAATGAAGCCCCAAAGCAGTTTGCAAAAAGAATAAGACAATCAAATCATCAGTAAAAAACAAAAACAAAACCCAATTCAGTTAAAAACAACTATTTTAAACATCCAACAATTACTGTAATTCAAACTGTAAGCTAAAAGCCAGTTCAAAACACATGCCAGCACATAGAAATATTTTCAGCAGGCACCAAAAAGAGTATAGGGAAACCAGGGAGCGCTTCAAAGTGTGGGTGCTGCCACTCCGAAAGACCAACTTATTGCCAGTTTTGTACCTTTCGTCCTTGCCGAGTTGATGTTGAATTTCAGAGACTTCCCGGTTAGCTTTTTCCCTGCAGCAGCCACAACGGGAAAGGAAACCGGGTCTGATTGGTTCCTAGTTGAAAAGCTTGGAAGGTCCCTCCCAGAAGAGGTGGATTAAAAGCTTCCCCCTCCAAAGCTTTGTAGCGTAAAAGCTACACAGTTAAACTTCCTAAGTACTTTTGGGCTGTTTTCTCGACAATTTAACCAGGCAGTTAGCTGCCGCCTGCCTCCAGCCTTGACAAAACAGATTCCGCTCCTCAGCTGCCTTTAAAGTTAAATAGGAGCACGGCAGGTGACATCAGTTTTGCATTCCTGGAACTGTGAAGGATCACTGAGCTGGACTTATGCGGAGCACTGCCAGTAAGTTTGCTCTTCAAACCTTGGAGGGAGGGAGTTTGCATAGCTACATAAAGAAGCAAAAATCCTTCCCATCCTCCAAGGGGTGATCGGAGGAAACTTAAGGAAGGGGGGGGGAGCCATTTGGAAAGGGATTTTTTTTTTGTGGGGAGAGAGGTATTTTCAGAGGAAAAGGATTAACGTCTTTCCCACACCATGCCAGTCTTTTGCTGGAGTTCACAGGGTGTCTTTGGGAAGGAGATCTCCTAGGAAGTAAGTGCCATATACTGTATAGTTTGGTCTCCAGGGGATTAGAAGCCCCCAAATTTCTCTTCAAACCAATACATGATTTTTGGAATGCAAAATTCTTCCCCAGATTGCCTGCTGCTCTGGAAGGCTTGCTGTTGCTGTTTTTGCTTGGAAGCTCTGGATCTGGCACCAATTCAATAGCAGTGGACTTAAGATGGGGAATCCTGTCTACTTTACCCAGCAGAGTCTGTCACTTTGCTCTTCAAGGTTTAACCAACAAGTTCATGTCTTTGAGACCAAAAGTGTGATGTGGTTAGGGCGTTGCTGTCTAACGGAGGGTCATTAGATGGGCAGCTCTCTCTGTAACACTTCATCAGTTTTGATTTGACAGCCATTTGGATTAGGCTCAAGATGTGTGGAAATTCTGGAGGAACCCAAACCATCACCAAAGTCAGATGATACTGATGGGCTGGCTGAAGGCCACTGTCGTGGGATGGCTGGATGCAGAGGGGTGGTGGGAGGCCCCGGTTGGGTAAACCCCAAAGGAAGAAGGCTCAGAGCCCAGGGAGTGGTGGTGGGACAACAATGAGTTGTCAGAGGGAGAAGAGTGGGAGGAGGTGTCGGAAGCTGAAGAGGTAACAGGGCTTAGTGAGCAGGAAGAGTCTGTGGCAGAGAGCAGTTCAGTATCAGAGGCAGAAGCGGAGGCTGGAGAGGAGGGGGCCCAAGAGACAGAGATGAGGCAGGCCATTAAAGCAGCTGGGGTGTCACCCCCTCCTCCTGTGACCAGCTCCCCTCTCCCTTGGTGTCCCAGAACCAGAAATGGTATGAAGAGGGAAGAGCAAAGACAGATACAGTGACAGAGTCTCAGATCGCTTGGGAAGGACCTGGGGGATGAAGAGATTTAGGCAACTGTAGAAAGGCAGTCCTCACAACTGCCTCATAGAGGCAATATCTGCTGGGATGAGTGGCTGTGCTCATTAGGCCTGGCTTCCTGAGCTGACTGTGCTTTACTGAATAAAGAGTTAATTTCATTGATGCTGTGTGATTTATTGCTGACCTGCTCCTGGCACCCGCTTCCGACAGCCACCAGCTTAGAAATAATTACTGCATGATTTTTGAACTGGATCATCAATTGCGCGTAACGTTGGACCCCCCCCCATCTCACTCATGAGCTGGTGCCTCTGCTGTGAGGTAGGTTAGGCTGAGAGAGATAACTAGGCCCAAGGTCACCCAGTGAGCTTCATGGCTGAAAGCAGGAATTTGAACCCGGGTCTCCTCAGTCCTGGTCCAACACTCTGCTGCTATACCACCCTGGCTCTCTTGCTCTCACAGTGGCCAACTGGATGCCTGGAGGAAACCCACATGCAGGACATGAACGCAACATCACTCTCTTAATCCTTGGCAATTCCCTGCATACTGCCTCCAACAGCAGAGGTAGACCCAGCTATTGTGGAAGTTGGAAAATGAACTGTTTCCACCTCTGCAGCTCGACAGCATCCATTCCACACTTGGCGCCTTGAAGGGAAACATGTCTCTTGCTTACGCACAACGGAGGACTAGAGAGACTCAGTGATCTGAAGTGACAGGCCAGCATCTGGCAACACTGCATTTACAGGCACAAAACCGCTTCCGAAATTTTTTAGAAGAAGCCCTGGTGAACTCATTGGGGGCTGCGGTCACACCCAGACTTGCCCGGTTCCTATTAATTCCAGTGAAACTTGCCTGAAGAGCACTGAGTCCACAGGTCTGCGCTCTCTCTCTTTCTCTCTCCCTCTCCTCCTTTCTCTCCAAGCTTAAGCAGAAAATTCACATCATGGTAGGTCTCTGCCTCTGGGTGAAATTATTTGCCTCTTAAGGCACCCTTTTCTTAATTTGCAGCCCATCACATCCAGAATTTAGCTGTGCATACTCCTACAACATCAAGCTTGTTCAGTTCAGTCTGCCAACACCATTTAACAGAAGGGGAGGAGGAGGAGGAGGAGGAGGAGGAGGAGGAGGAGGAGGAAGAAGAAGAAGAAGAAGAAGAAGAAGAAGAAGAAGAAGAAGAAGAAGAAGAAGAAGAGGAGGAGGAGGAGGAGGAGGAGTTTGGATTTGATATCCCGCTTTATCACTACCCTAAGGAGTCTCAAAGCAGCTAACATTCTCCTTTCCCTTCCTCCCCCACAACAAACTCTGTGAGGTGACTGGGGCTGAGAGATTTCAGAGAAGTGTGACTGGCCCAGGGTCACCCAGCAGCTGCATGTGGAGGAGCGGGGAAGCGAACCCGGTTCACCAGATTACGAGACTACCGCTCTTAACCACTACACCACAGAGATTTTAAAGGAGAAAGTGGTGAAGAGTCTCCTAGACGTAGCTACTTACATGGATCTGTCCAACAGCCAAGCACTCTGGGGCTCCTGGAAATGGCAAGTGTGGCCTCAGTGGCTAATCTTTTCCTTTTTACATTGAAACATACTGTAGGTCATTTGATTGGCAGAACCCCAACCCAATCACCATTGCTAGCTTCCAAGAGACTTCCCTTTCCACAACCTGTTTGAGCTTAATCCCAGTTCCAAAGTCCATCTGCTTAGTTTGATCAGTGATATGGTTATGAATTGTATCAAGAACCCCTCCTTGTTTGTTCCTGGGCAAACCTGCCTAGATCACCAATGATTTATAGGCACTTCTTTACCTTTGACGCCTTTCTGCATTCAAACTGCACTTGTTTCATCTAAAGAGTGGTGTTGTAGTTCTGTAGAAAGGCAGAGAAAGTTCTGTATGTGGGGGAAGTGGCAGAATCTCAACTTGGGCACCAGTCATCTTGCTGCTGCAAAAACACATTACAGTCTCAATTTCTGACTCTCTCATATAGAAATAAGCCCTGCTGGACCAGGACAAAGGCCCATCTAGTCCAGCATCCTGGTCTCACTGTGACCAACCAAGGGAACAAAAAGGAACCAAGCCTGGCAGTGCTTTCCCCATTTGTGTTCCCCAGCAGCAGGTATCCAGAGGCATAATGGCCATCGGCAGTAGAGGTAGAATGTCAGCATAGCTCTGGATAGCCGTGTGCTCCATGAATTTGTCTAATACTCTTTGAATAAACCCACTCAAGTTGGTGAACACCACTACATCTTGCGGTAGAGAATTCTAGAGTTTAGCTAGACCCTTTGAGGAATAGCCCATCTTTTTTTTTAGGGCCCGAATTGTCTAGTATTCATTAGAATTGAACACTTCGTACATACACTGGAACCTCGGGTTACATACGCTTCAGGTTACAGACTCTGCTAACCCAGAAATAGTGCTTCAGGTTAAGAACTTAGCTTAAGGATAAGAACAGAAATTGTGCTCTGGTAGCGCGGCGGCAGCAGGAGGCCCCATTAGCTAAAGTGGTGCTTCAGGTTAAGAACAGTTCCAGGTTAAGAACGGACCTCCGGAACGAATTAAGTACATAACCAGAGGTACTACTGTACGTACTAAACAAGGCATGCCCAAAGTCCGCCAGTCGGTTTAATCCGGCCCCCCAAACCTCAATCGTATAAAAAAACCTCAACAACTTTGGGGTAAAATCCTAAAAAAAGGTTAACAACTTTGGTCGGCCATTATGGCCCTTCACTTCATCACTTCATCAAATCTGGCCCTTTGGACACCACTGTACTAAATGCTTTGTTTGCGCTATACTGAATTGCTCGATATTATTATTGGGATAAAATGCCCCTGCTTTTTCAATCAAACTCAACTAAACTAAACTTACACATTAAGCACCAATCTAAAGGAGACCAGAGAGGATGCAGAGTACAGATCCATTACCAAAATTAAGCAGATGGGAATTGACTCACTTACTAGGGTCATACCCATGCAGCAAAGTGATTCACTGTCAAATCTTTTTCCTGAAACTCTGGGCGTTGATGTTTTGTGAAGAGAGGCTAGGGACTTCTGAAAGAGGATTCTTTGCACCTCAACAGAATTCAAATTCCCAGGATTTCTGAGCAGTGAGGACAGGCAAAATGATACAAAACCGATGTGTGTAGCGTTCATACAGCCTAATCGCTGGATCACATATTACTGGTAAACTTGCCATTTCTTTTTCGATAGGTTTGTTTCCGTGTTACACTAAAGACAGGTAGGTAGAAGCTGTCTCTCTCTACATGTGCCCAAGCGTTTTTGCAGATACAGACTGCAAGACTGTTCAGCTCAACCACTTATGCCACACAGACCACGCTCTCCTTTAATATAACTGGTAGGCACTCCAAATTTCTCTTTGCATGGCTAGCACATCACACCAGGGGTTGTGGAAGCTTTATTAAATTTGTAGCCCAACCTGGGAAGGTAGACCATCTTTTTAACTTATTGTGGTCTGCCAACAGATCACAAATACTATTGGTCAGGGTCCAGGAAAACTAAAATAGTAGCATAGCATAAACCCTGTTACTGAACAGGAGTAAAAGATGTAAGATTAAGACTTATTATTATTATTATTATTATTATTATTATTATTATTATTATGTTTATGCCACGCATCTGACTGGGATTACCCTGGGCGGCTTCTAACAAATTAAAACACAGTAAGACATCAAACATTTAAAACTTCCCTATACAGAATTTAGGGACATTTAGGGGAAAATGCAACACTCCCCACTCCCAAATAACAATATTAACTTAGCCCAAGCTAAAATACTTTACCAACGCTCTTTGTCCCCCAGAAGAGATGTTGCTCAAGGCACCTGTCAGGAAAGTGCAAACTTTTCTTTAAAAATTTTTTTATTAAATATATTTTAGTTTACAAAAGTATGTGCATTGTCTCTTTTTTTCAGGTCGTCAAGTCTTTTCTGTAGATCAGTAACATTCCATGTGCGATATTAGTGCTGTATAGAGCATAACATTAGGGGAGAGAGGGGGGAGGGGGTGGTAAAACTAGGAAAGCACAAACTGAAAAGGTGAATGAAAAGGGGCAGAGAAACAAATATAAAATAGTCTCCTGAGAAAGGTTCATTCCAACCTTGATTTTATATTTGACTGGCATTTTATCCAATCTAATTGCTCAGTTTGGTTGGCACTGTGTCCATTTCTTATGCATCCATTACTTTAGAAGTAATGTTTTCTTTAAAAAATGGAAAGCTTTCCACATAGGGAGTAAAAAAGATAGCAGCAGAAAATTGTGTGCTTTGGATTCTTTCTCTCTGACTTCAATGGGCTCTTTAAAAAAGAGCAATCAGTGCATAAGCCACCGTTTTCTAAATATTCAGAAATAGGCAGATCTTTCCAAGCTCATAGCCTTAGCTCTTCCAGACAGTAGAGGAATAACTTATGCATTATTCTTTTTTTCCAGCACCGTGTTGACCAGGTTCTCCACAAACTCCTGTGCATCATTCATCTGACTCAGGCATAAACACTCGCCCTTCGTAAGAAGACGGTTTTCTTCTGCTATATTCAGGAATGCCTCTCGATTTCTTTGAAGAGCAAAATCTTCCGTTAACTTCCCTTTAGATTTCTTTATACGATCAGCAGGCTTTTCAGCAGAAGGCAGAGATTCCAAACAAATGGAGCTGAGAATCAAGGGGAAGCAACATTACAACACACACACAATATATCTGTTTTCCAGGGCCTCCCACCTGTCAATCACCTGAAATCACAGTAAGATTATCTTACTGCCCTTTCAGCAGCCTGTATCATCCAAACCACACAGGCAAAGACACAGAGGTGTTGCTTTCGGCAGGTGGCTGCATCTTGGCCTTCCCCACACCTGATGTCAAGCACAACGTTACGGGGGAGGGGGGGAATCTGAGGGCTCCCTTGGACAAAAAAAAGGACACCAGCCAGGAATACCAGAGCAAAACAGCAGCCAGTAGGCTTGGTCTTTATTGAAGACTGTCGCGACAGGACTCCCACCTGCCACAAGGTGGAACAAGATGGAAGCCCAGAACAAAAGAGCCCCCAAACTTTTATTAGCTGCTAATCCCCATGTTACATCCCTCAAAACTACACCACTCATACATCACAGTTACATCATGCAAGGGGAGGTCTGGTGGCAGTAATCTGAGCATCCTGGACCCTGCCCCATGGTTCTCCTTGCCCTCCACCAAACATACATCAAGTGTAACAAAAAGATATTTACATTTCCCTGTTTCCCAGCCAAGTTAATCACACCCTTTTGTCTTCATCTGGATTTGTTATTTCTGGAATGGCTACCTGTCTGGCACTCAGGTATCAGGATGCCAGGGATTATCACTCAGGCAGAGGGGCTGCTGAGTAGCTGAGCTCACATGTCTATATGAATTTCTGAAGTTTTCCCAGTGAGCCAGTACATACATGATACATTTATCAGTGAATTGTTACATTTGGTATTGTGCAGCAGAGGCCCTTTGAATAGATAGGAAGAATATCCACCCTCCCTTCCCCACAGGTGGGCGGGGTTTACGGCACCGAGCAAGGCTCACCTGGGCGGGTGTCACCCCCTGCTTGAGCTGGCCTTTGACCCGCCCTTGGCCAGGGAGGACAATGGACGGCCAGCCAGGGGTGGGCCTAAGGCCAAAAAGGAAAAGAGGCTGATTCCTGGGCTCAAGCCTCTTTTGCCTTTCTTCCTTCCAGGATGTGATGAAGTGTTTTGTGGGGACAAATCACCAAAGTCATAAAAGTGATTGTGCTGATTTTGGTAGTGGGCTGCATGTGCAGGATATCTGCTGGAGGGGCAACCTCCCCAACCTATACATAAATTCCTGCAACAGCACATAGGGCAAATGGGTTTGGCTTGGCCAAAATGACCTTATGGGCCGAATAGAGAGGCCTGCCAAGCCTAATTAGGTCCTTAACTGCTGCCATAAATCTAACAATAATCTAAACAGTGATAAAATCCAAGGATACATAGTACAAAATCTCCAACCACCCATTAAAAGGGGAGGTCTTCAATCCCTCTTAAACACTTCAAGGAACGAGGCCTGTGTGTGATGTAATCCATTGGAGCAGCCAAAATACAACATCCCTTGTTTCCCTAGTGTGGACACAGACAGGGGGATGTTACTCCAGCCAGTATAACTTCCTGTTACACCAGGTAGGTGGGGGTGACCCTTGCAGACCCCACAAAAGGTCCAGTCATGCAGCCATCTTTCTCTCTCTTGATTCTCTTGGACCAGCAGCACATGGGATCAATCCCCATATGGGATGAATTCACACCTTTCTCTGTAACTGTAACTACAAGCTAAAGCCTGCCTTCAGGGATCATACTGTGAACTGAATGTAAGTAAACTTCTTGTTACTTTTAAGGAAAGGCTGTTGTGTCTTTATTCTTTTGAGAGGGATCAAAAGGGGACTTACCAGGAAGAAATCCAACATGGGCATGCCAGACTGGATTGCTTAACTAAAGACATTCAAATGAATCTGCAAACTAGCTTCCTGTTGTATTGAGGGGAATGTGCTCTGCTAAATGACTCACTAGTGTGAGTGAAGGAAGGATAACATTTAATCAATATATCCTCTCCTACTATCCACAACATTCCCACAGCCTGCTACACAGGCCTTTCCTCTCTCACTCTTTCCTCCTTAGGCTGCTGGTGGGGAGACCAGATTATTTCTGCTAGCTTGGAGATGGCTATAGGTCACCTCCTCCCCACCCTAAACCTCATTTCTGTCTGGTTAATCCTCTCCACCCTCTTCCTACTGTCAAGTTTCTATGGCCACCCCAACTGCCTTTAAATATTCCTTTCAACTCCTTCCACTGACCCGGCCTGGCCCACTTCCTGTGGCATGATCTCATACTCTCCTCTCCACTTCAGATGTGTGCCCCAGACACAGTTCCTTACAACATCATTCCAACCCATCCCAAATGTTTAACTCAGCTTCTGAAAACCATCCAGTAGCCCCACAGTTACCATAACAACACCACTGCATTTCACATGTGGCCTCAACCATCCAACTCAACATCACTTCCTTGCTGCAGATAACAGCCCTGTCCCAATCAAACAAGTCTTTGCCCGAAACTGACCTGTATTTCAGTTCCCCACATTCTTACTACTGGCTGCCCCTGGGACACAGACACAGCAAATGAGAACAGAAGAAGAAGGTGGACGTCCAGTCCTGGTGTAAACATGGCCCCTAGCGTGGTCCTCCAGCAAAAACTGGGCAATACTGGGCAATGCCTCAGCTCATCACTTGAGCACAGAAATTACCCTTTGGTAGCTGTTCTTGAAGAAGCACCTCTCTCCGAATCCTCTTTTGTCTCCATGGTACAGGGCATGGCACAGTCCACTTCTGACCAAGGGCGCTTTATTCCACTCTGATGTCCGGCCTGGTCCTGAGTGACCCTTAAAGGGAGGACTTTTGCTGGAAAGCAAACGCACGAGAAAGAGCTTTATTTAATCAACCCAATGGCATATCTGCCCTGGGAAAATAGATCAATTACGTGCTCACCAGCAACAACCGGTGGGGACTCTGTTTATGAGGAGAGTGGCTTCCCTGCCCTCTGAACCAACAGCAAAAGCCATGGTGGTTGTTAAGAGATTGATTCAAAATGTTGGTTAAAAGTGAGGTCCCAACTAAAGAAGATTAGCAACTTAAACTGATGGAATATGCGCAGCTTGCGGACCTAACATACAGAATAAGAGAACAAGAACATACGTTTAAAGAAGATTGGAAAATGTTTATTGAATATATGGGGGTGCACTTGAAAACAGTGGCAGAATTAAGATAAATTCAACAGTGTAAATAAATTTTGATGGATGGAATAATGGAATACTGAATGGTCTGGTTTATATAAAATATGCAGGGATTTATGTTATGCAAAATGAATCATGGAAAGAGAAGAAGGGAAGTTTTGGATATTTTAAAGTTGTTTAAATGACTATTCTACATTGTAAAACAGAAATATATATATATAGTTATATAGTTATATATAGTTATTATATTATATTATATTTATTATATTATTACACACACACACACAATGTTGGTTATTACTCCCTAGCTCAACTCATTTGGCTCCTTCACTGTTGACATCTAGTTAACATTGTCCTGCTCAAATGTGCTTTTGGTACACAGAACTGAGATTGGTATTATTATTATTATTATTATTATTATTATTATTACTGTATTTATATCCCACCAAGGAGCTCAAGGTGTGGTTCTCCTCCTCCCCATTTTATCCTCAAAACAACCCTATGAAGTAGCTTAGGCTGACAGTCTGTGACTGGCCCAAGCTCACCCTGTGAGCTTCATGGCTGAGTAGAGATTTGAACCCAGGTCTCCTAGGTCCTCGTCCGACACTCTAACCATTATACCACAACTGTCTGTTGGCCCCATTTATCCTGAGCTTCTTTTGTTTCCTTATTTTCTGTTGCAGTAATCTTTTTTTTTAATTGTTCCATTAAAAAAAAAATTCTTGCCAGGCACCTTGGACCTACACTTTGAGGAACAGAAAGGCACAATAAAATTCTTGGCACATTACTGCTACCTAGTGGATGGTTGAGAATACAAAACTGATAAGTAACATGGTTTTACTACCTTTTGCCAAACTATCCTGAACTTCACGAACAGCAGTCTCAATGTGCGGCATGTAGCAGGCATAGATTTCCTCCATCTCCTGGCTGCAGACTGAGCAAAGTTGAAAAGTAAACAAAAGAATGACACACTTTTCCCGCACAGCTCTGACAGGGTTTTCTATGCATTCAAAATGGCACTAGGGTCAGTCCCACAGGTACACGGAAAGCCCAAAAGCACTTATAAATTCACTCACGGAGTCACATTTGTGTGCTTTGACTTCTGACATTAAGTCAGGGTCACCAGGGCTCAGCCCCAGAATCCGTTTTCAGTGCCTGGGTTTATCTAATGAACAAGAGGACCTTTGAAAATGTGCCATCTCCCACAACACTTTCCCCTCCAGAAGTGCATTTCTTTTGTCTCACAAATTCTGGGGTTAAAGAAGGGCTTCTGAATCAGAAGACTCAACTTTTGAAGAGGCTTGAGGTCTAGCACCTTTAAAATAATAATAATAATAATAAGGACTGATAGTCAGGGGCAGAGGTGAGAAGAGGTCACGTTTACCCTGGAAGGATGGTCTTTGGGCCTTTTCTTTCTGCCAGCACCTTTTCATTAGGCTGATCAGATTTTCCAGTTTCTCCACCTCGTGTATCTTCCCCTCCAGCTCCCGGGTGTTTGGCCTTTGATTCTCTTGGATTTGCATTCTGAAGATGGAGTTGTCTCTCTGAGGGTTGGCTGAGCAGGGATGGAGATCGAGGCATTCAAGAGAACATTTCCAAGACATATCACGTGACACAGTCCTAAGCAGAGGTGGGGAATCTTTGCCATACCGGGCCTCGCTATTTGGCCCACTGCCAAATGCAGCAAAGGTGACGCTGGGGCAAAGGGGGATTGCTACCACCAGCTGGCTAATTGCCGGAGCCTGTATGTTGCCATGCACAGGGCTTTGAACGCTCCAAGCACCAGCTGATCACATGGGCAAAAATGGGCCACCTGAACACAGATGATTGACAGGCTGGCAGCCCCACCCCACTTGTTCCATGGGGGTGGGGATAAGAGATAAGAATCTGGAACACCAGCCAGACCCAGTTCCCCTCCCCTGGCCTCAAGGCAACTTTAATTGCACAAGCCTTCTTTTCCCAGTACAGTGGTACCTCGGGTTAAGAACCTAATTCGTTCCGGAGGGCCGTTCTTAACCTGAAACTGTTCTTAACCTGAACCACCACTTTAGCTAATGGGGCCTCCTGCTGCCGCCGCGCTGCCGGAGCACGATTTCTGCTCTCATCCTGAAGCAAAGTTCTTAACCCGAGGTACTATTTCTGGGTTAGCAGAGTCTGGAACCTGAAGCGTATGTAACCTGAAGCATATGTAACCCGAGGTACCACTGTATGTGCTTGACTCCCTGCCACAAGATGCTGTAGACTCCATTGGAAGAGTGCCCATTTTTCTCTTGTGTTGGCTTCCCAGGGCACAACTGCATTGAATATATATTCTCTGTAATTCAGTCAGGCAGAAATAAGCCATAGGCAGAAAGAGCACAACTCACATGGATACGGTTCCTTGCCGGTTAGCACTGAGAACATGAGGATCCCATAGCTGAAAAGAAAAAAGCAAGTTGATTAAAAGCCCCTCCCAACTTCAACTGAGATCTTTCCTCTTCCTGTGGGACAGCAATATCAGTGGTCCCATGCCGTTTCCCATCTCCTGGGCTTCTACATTATCCTGTACTATAGGTTAGTCAGCAGAAGGAATGCCGCAAGAGGGAGGTTAACCAATGTCAGCCTCACTGCCTTCATTCATTCACACAAGAAGCAGCCTTAGCAATCTGGTGCCCTCCAGAGTACAAATGCTACAAGCTCCAGGCTGGGGCTGATGGGAATTGTAGTCCCAACGGCATCAGGTTGTGCAAGAGTATCTGACCCACAATGTACTCCAAAGACAGGGACGTAAGGAGAGCCTTTCTGGATCAAGCCAATGGCCCGTCTAGTTGAGCATCTGTCATGCTAACCTTTTCCCAATTCTATAGTGCTCATGCAATTGTGCCAACCCCTTTGTGCCCCACAGCAGACGCTTCTGTCCACCTGTAGACATCTGTGGCTGGGTCTGGCTTGTAGGACTCGGCAAAGGCCTCGGGGGGCATGTATTCGAGGGTCCCGCCAGATACTTCTGTGCTTTCAGAGGGGAGAGGGGAGCGCTGAGTTGTCCCAAACTTGGACAAGCCAAAATCTGCCACCTGAATGGGGGAGACAAGGCAAAACAATGAAGAGAACTCCCAACTGGGACAACATAGGAAGCTGCCTCCTCCCAGGTCAGATTATTGGTCCATTTGGCCCAGTCATGTTCACACTGACTGACAGCAGGAGCTGTCCAGCAGAGCTTCAGAAAGGGGATATTCCCAATCCTACCTGGAGAGGCTGGCGACTGAACTGCAGGTGCTCTGCCTCTGAGCGACAGCTCCTTCCCAAGGTATTGACTTACCTGCACTTTGTCCTCTTTAGGATTACTAACACACGGTGCCGCTCCATAAGCAACTGGGTTTTGCACCACTGCTCTGCACAGCAGGCAGACTCTCATCACTGGGGGGAAGGGTGCAGGATCCCCTATTCTGGTCTCCAAGCAGAAGACGCTCATAAAGAAACTTTATATTACATAATTGAAAAGTATCAGAAGACTAATAGTTGGGTGGGAGAACTGGAATTTTTTTTTACATCTGGCAGCCAATGTGCCACTCTGGTTTCAGATAGTACATGGGTAGACGAGTCCTAAAAGCCCAGGACACAAATTTTCACAGCCCTCTAGCAGTTGTGGTGGCTCATTTACCAGAACTAATGTATTTAGTGTTCACAAGCGGAAGTGTATACTTGATTACTCAGACAAACAAAACCTCCAGAGCAAAATATAACAGTGCTTGTTAAGCCTCCAGACGAATTAAGTTTCGTCCGCAGTCTCTATCGTCTTGCGAGTTTTTCGTCTTGCGATGCACGGTTTCCCATAGGAATGCATTGAAAATCAATTAATGCGTTCCTAGGGAAACCGCCTTCAGACCAGGTCCGGGGACAGTCTGTCCCCGGACCTCTTCTGAAGGCTGGGGGGGGGCAAGGGCTTTTCTTCCCACCCCCAGCATTTTAAAAAACCCCGGGACAGCGGAGGACTTCTCTGCTGTCCGGGGCGATCTTAAAATGCTGGCGGGCGGCATTTTAAAATCGCCCCGGGACAGCGGAGGACTTCTCCGCTGTCCGGGGCGATTTAAAAGCCCCTGGGAAGGCAGGCAGGGGGGACAAAGACTTTCGCCCCCCGCCCGCCTTCAGAAGGTGTTCCCGCCCCCCGCCCCGCTTCGGAGCAGCGTTCGCTCCCGACCCCCAGCATTTTAAAATCTCCCCGGGACAGGGGGAGATTTTAAAATGCTGGGGGTCGGCAGCGAACGCTTCGCTCCCGCCCGCCAGCATTTTAAGATCGCCCGGGGCAGGCGGGGGGAAGGCAGGCGGGGGGGGGAGCAAAGACTTTTGCCCCCCGCCGGCCTTCAGAAGAGGTCCTCTTCTGAAGGCCGGCTGTGCGCGAAAGTCTTTGCTCCCGACCGCCAGCATTTCCCTATGGGCTTTCGTCTTGCGATGCAAGCCCATAGGGAAATTCGTCTTGCGAAGCACCTCCAAAACAGAAAACCCTTTCGTCTTGCGGGTTTTCCGTCTTGCGAGGCATTCGTCTTGTGGGGTACCACTGTACATATACATATACATATACATATACATCAGTATGACACCCCTGCCAAATATCATAGAATTATAGAATTGTAGAGTTGGAAGGGACCCTTAGAGTCATCTGCCCCCTGCAAATTATGACCATAAACCCTTCATTTAAAGATATGAGACTCTGCTAGGCCACAAACTATTTTTTTTACTTATAATATGCAAGATTTCTAATCCTTCTAATGCTAAAATTTCTCTTTGTTTTAAGGCAAGTGGCGTAAGGAACAAAAGCTGAGCGTATCATGAGGCTGAAACATCATCACTGTGGAAAGTAGAGATTGCTGGTGTCTGCTTCAGAGAAATCACAAATAATGTCCATGAAGAAGGAACATGAATTGGCTGATGCTATGACTGACCCTGCAGTGGCACAGTTTTTAATGGGACTTGTGTTTGTTATGCCAGAAACATTCAAATGAGTGTTTAATTATTCCAAAGTATGAAGGCTACATTTCAATGGCGAAGAATCTTGCCATTTTTTTTGCTGAATATTGCAAGCTTCCAACAACTGTAAGGAATTTGGATCCATTGTACGATAGATGCGGTCATTTGCAACGGCATCGTGAACATGCAAGCTGCAAGAGCACATGGTCTGGTGTGGACTTGCTTCAGGAGGAGTTAGCAGGAAGCTCAAGAGGCCTGCTTACACCCAAGAACACATTTCAGAATCTCAGCAACTTACAAGCGCTCCATGACACAGTTGCCTGGAGTCACTCAGCCGATAGAGAAAAACATTCCTGGAAGCAGAAAGGGAGCACTGACCTTGACTGGTCCCAATTAAAAAGAGAGAGAGAGTATGGCTCACCTTCACATTCAGAGCTTCATCCAGCAGGATGTTGCTGGGCTTGAGATCCAGGTGGAACCGCGGAGGATGGAGGCAGTGCAGGAAGTCTATCCCCAGGGCTACCTGGTAGAGGATGCGGATTCGCAGGGGCCAGGGCAAGGCCCTGGACAGCAAGCCAGACAAGTTGCCGTTCTCCACATACTCCATCACTAGGCCCACTTCATTTCCCTTCTCGTAGAGACCATAAAGACGAGGGATGGGGGCGAAAGATGCCTCATCCATGAAGCGGGCTCAGTAAGGGCTTGCTGTCGGATGCAGGACACATTTGCGCTGGGTACATTGGTGCTTGAGGGTGAAAGAGAGTCCATGGTGAGAGTCGAAGGAAAAGTTACAAAATACTGTTGAGACATGGACTCATTGAATGATGAACCCAAGATGGGATTGCCTAATCAGAAGGTCTCCAAGAGCTCCTGAGTCAGTCAAGAGCTGGTCTGAGTAGGTTGGGAGGAGATATGGAAAGCTGTCTCACATCAAGTCAGATCAATGGCCCACTTAACTCAGTATAGCCGAGACCAGCCTTCACCAACCCATTTCGCACCAGATTTTTTGGACTATAATTCTTATCAGTCGCAGCCAACATCTGGAGGGAACCAGGGTTCGTGAAGGCCAGTCTACACTGACTAGCAGTGGCTCTTCCAAGGTCTCAGGTAGGGCTCTCTCCCGGCCTGACCTAGACAGACAGCTCTTCTCCCAGGAACTCCATGAATAAGGAGCATTAGCTACAAAATTCTGAACATGGAAACAAGATGTCAGCAGCCTAAATTGGCCTGCCCTTGGGTTCCTTTGAAGGATCTGGGAAACAACCTGGTACTGTCCAAAGAAGTCACAACATACATTCCCAAGCCCTTAAAATTCTTTGCCACATTGCTGAAGGCAGAGAGTCTGAGATTTGGGACCTTGTGGGTGCAAGATAGAGGCTCTACCAAATCTGTATAACCAATTCAAGGTTAGATTACTGCAATGTGCTTATATGTTGGGCTGCCTCTGAAGACGGTTCAGAAACTTCAGCAAGTGCAGAATTCAGAGGCCGGGTTGCTCACCGGAGCAAAACGGTTTGAGCTTATTAAACCAATCCTGGTCCGACTGCACTGGCTACCAATTAGTTTCCGGGCCCAATTTAAAGTGCTGGTTTTGACCTATGACACCTTTAACAGCTCAGGACCGCAATACCTCAAGGCCTGCCTCTTTCCATATGAACCTACCCGCACCCTGAGATCATCTTCTGAGGCCCTTCTCCATGTGCCTCCTCCTCAAGAGATCCAGAGGGTGGCAACAATCCATCTGTGGAATGCTCTCCCCAGGGAAGTTCACCTGGTGCCTTCATTATATACCTTTAGGCACCAGGTAAAAACATTCCTTTTTAACCAGCCCTTTGGTTGACCTGATCGACATCCTGTACCCTTTTAAAATGCAGCTCTTTTGGGGGGTATTACTGGGTTATTGTTTTTACTTTGACTTTATATATTGTGATCTTTTACGTGAACCACCCTGAGACCTCTAGGTATAGGGCAGTATATAAATTCTAATTCTAATTCTAATTTTAATTCTAATTCTAATAATAATTCCACCCTCAACCACACACCCAACCACCAGCTTTACCGGTGGAAAATCTTCACCGCCACAATCCCCTTTTCTTTGTGCTGAGCTCGGAAGACGGTTCCAAAGCCCCCTCTGCCGATGTGTTGCAAGTTCTCCAAGCAGTTCTGGGGGATCCTCTCGTGGAACATCTCCAGACCAGGTGTCCTTTTTGAAGGAGCATGTGCCCCGAACGAGGTCACTCCATTCTGACTTGTGCACAAAGCAGATCTTAAGGAGGGTGAAGGAGAGGAGAGAAGACCATTTACATATGTTAAGATATAGTATGAAAACAAGTGTGTGATGTGCCGGGTAGACTAGTGAGTTGGAGCAGGGGAAACCTGAGTTCAAATCCCTCCTCAATTTGGCAACTCTACTCAAGCCAAAGAAGTCTACCATCTTGTTGCCCCCAGTAGCCACCTAAATGCCAGCAGGAAGCTCTAGCAGATGATGCACTTTCACAGCATTCTTCCCTGGTATTTGGCGATATGCTGTCACCGCACAGCTAACCCATCATGGCTAGCAACTTGTTGCAAATGAATGAGCCTATCCCATTGGATGGCCATCATCTTAATGTTAAGATAAGCTAATGGCCTTTGCCACATTCTGTGACAGTAAGCTCCACAAAATCGGTTGTCTGAAGATGCCCTTTTATCTCTCCTGACATCTCTACCAACACTCAAATTTCCCTGGGTTGCCCCTTCAAATCCCACCTGAAAAATCCATCTTTCCCACAAAGATTATGGCAGTCGGCATGCCCTGCTGTAAATAACCTTAAAAGGGTTTAAATGAAATGGATGCGCATTCTTATTCCGTACTCTCCCATCCCAGCTATGCCACATGTATTAAATTATAGACTGTAAGTCCCTCTTGGCCTCCGTAAATTATCATGCGTACTGAGGGTGCTATACAAGCCCAAATTAAGAACCGCATTTTGTCTATCCACTTTCTCCACAGTGCAAAAGCACCAGGAGAGAGAATGGCAGACGCCTGAGCTATAGCTCTGTTGTAGGCATAGTCTTCAACA